CATACTGATCTTCTTATGCTCTCTATCCTTGAAGCTGAGCCATGGATGCTCTCCCGAATTAAGTATGTAATAGCCCATTTTACCAGCTAAACAGTGATTCCCATTGCTGAGAAAGGACATGCAGAAAGCAAATATATACTTTCACCTGGAAACATGCTTCCATCAGCATTGCTGTTCATCAAATAATAAATCCATGGTTTACAGGGCTAAAATACAAAATTTTACTTAATGTTCTTAAATTAGACTAGGATGAGCAAGCTGTGAATTCCAAACTATTCAATCATATTAGAGAGAGAAAGAACATTAAAACTAGGCATTTCTTATTCATTGAAGATAGGACTTAAATCAAAATTAGAGCATGACAAGCCAGTTTACAACACAAACAATAGCATCCAATCATCTCTACTTCTTTCTGATCAATAAAGATTCAACATTGTGACATACACAATCAAGCGTACAAAATGCATGTCCATCACAGCAATCATGAAAATCATCTCTATGTGATCGTACTTGTCATCCTACCTATGATTCAGGAGTTGGCAATCATATAGCAAAACAAAAAGGAAAGAAAGATAATATGTAAGAATGGAAGAGACACTACGCAGATACAACAAGATACAGCAGGAGAAGAAAAGATGCAGCTATCCAAAGAAAATCCTGCAGCATTTTCCTCAAAAATGTAATATAGTGAACTCAATCCATAAAGCAAACGAAAAACTTTTCTTCCCTAAGTTGACAACAATTAACACAAACAAATTTGATAAGACACCATAAGTCAGTTGAAACACAATCTTTATGGTAAAAGAAAAATATGCAACAAGACTAAACTCACCTCCAGCTAAAGAGAAGTATACAATGGCATCCTAAGAAACAAAGCAAGAAGATATTCAAATTAAACGACAGAGTATTCCCCAAATAAGGGTCAGAGAAGCAACCTGAAATGGTAAAATCAGCTAAAAGGATATTAAACTGTGCCGATCATGGTTCAAATTCTTTTTCTGTCCAAAGTAATAGATTTCAGTTCAACTGTTGTATGCAAATGAGAAACAAATGAGAAACAAATCACAACGTTTGAACTCTTATCCATCCAATTTAGCTACCTCAGCTACAAAACACAATATTCTAGATTCCCACACTTTTGAAGGATAAAAGCACTAACCAACTAAACTTACAATGACAGGATTCCAGAGATTGTTAAACAGAAACAACTCGGACCTTCTTGAGTCGTTTCATGCCAGGAGAAATTGTCCTTAATATCTTTCGTCCCTTCTTCTTCTGCTTCACCTTCTTGGTTGCAGGAGGCATTTCTCTGATGGGACCTGGAGGTACTCCCTTTTTGAGTGCACTACCTCTTGGAGTAAGAGAGGGTGGTATCCTTAAACTTTGAGGTGGCAATGGACTATGTGGCTTCCAGATCAAGTTATTCTTCATTGCAAACCTCACTTTCTTGGCACTCTTTGCACTGGCATCTAGTCCATCCTCTCCTTCAGTGCCCACCTCTGGATTGCAACGACTATCTGCACTTTTAGCTCTCTTTCTCTTCTTTTTCATTGCGACTAGAGGCAAGTCATCAGAAGACTTTAAGTCATCATCAGAACCTTGCTCAGCAGCAATCTTCTCAAACTGGAGCTGAAGATTTGAAATCACGGACTCGCTGAATTCCAAGACACTTTCATCATTCTTGAAAGCACTGGTTGATTCATAACCATTAGCAGAAACTGCATTCGCATTTTCCAAGGCATAAACGTTACCTGCATTGCAGTTTTCTGAACAATTAGCATTAACTACACCATTTTCTTCAATCCTATAGGTATAGTCCATAACCCTATCCTTCTCCTTTTTCTTCTTCTTAGCTTTTTTATCGCCTGCTTCCTTCCCCTTCTTCTTCTTCTTCTTCTTAATATTCCCTTCTTTTTCAACAACAGGATCAGCATCTTCATCCTGTGATGCAGCAACTACTTCCCTGACACCATTATCTATCGGGATTAACTGAGGCACCTCTTCTCCATCATTGTCATCAACCTCGTTAAACTCTGGAATGGCAAAATCAATCTGTGATGCTTGCATTTCCCCCTCCAGCTTCAAAAATTCTTCATGCAACCCAAGAACCACCTTCCTATTCCCCTGAAGACAGTCAGGAGATGCTCCCACCTCATAAAGCCTCCCAGAAAACCCCATCTTCAATGCGATTAACCCCAACAACATATCCCCAATTTCACCATCTTTCTCATCAACCCCGTTTTTCTTTCGCTGCAACAACGCCCTTCCTCCGTCCAACAAAGTATCAAACACACAACTCTTCACTTTTCCCACCAAAACCTTATCCAAAGACCTCCCCATGACACTAAAGAACGGCTTAAACAAACACTGCACCACTTCCTTTCTCGCCAGCGGAACCTTAAATCCTTTCAACTCATCAAGAAAAACAGAAACAACGTGATAATTCACCCCATTACCCAACAATTTATCGTTGGCCAAAAACCCCTTTTCCTCCAACACCTCAACATATTTCCCCAAATACTCCAAATCCCACATGTATTTCCTCATCAAAGAAAAAACCCCATTCACAAACCTCCTAATGAGCAAGTAAAACTTATCCAATCTCAAATGATCAATGCCGGTCCATTCACGACGAAGAGTTACCAAAAAACAGCCAAAATACTGCAAAGAAAGCAAAGGGTCAAGCGTAATTAGCAAGGAAGACAAACGGTTGATGAGTAAACCTTGAGCAGGAGCTTTATCCGAATGCCAAAGGCAATAGAAAAGCCCCTTCCACAGCCTTTTCATATCATCCTCGGGAAGTTCGGTTTGAGAGTCTGACAGCCAAGCTTGAATTAGCTTGAGGGATTGGGATCTGATTGAGGCGTTGCAAGACGCTAAGTGCTTAATCAAGGACGGCCCAGGTAAGGCTGAGAGGGTTGCTAAAAAGGGTTTCGGCTTTGGGGTTCTGGGTTTTTTCTTCATGGTGGAATTTGGATCGTGGGGTTTTGAAAGATATGGATCTGGGAATTGGGAGGTAGAAGGGTTGAGGTAGTTGGAGTGGCTCCGAATTGTACTGTACTCGTGGATGCAGCGGGTTTATAGGGTTTTAGGTCGTGGAGGAAGCAGTAGACGTGGTTCCCGTTTTGTCCTTGGCTTTGATTTTCTGCATTTTCTGGGTCGCGGTTTTCAGATTGGGATTGTGCATTCGAAGCTAGAGAAACCCTAAGAGGGCGTTTTGGGGCAAGTGCCGATGGTTTTTGCTATTTTTACAGGCTTGGAAAATTTGCTAACTAATCCTTAGACTATTTATGAAGTTTTAATATGGTGCGACTTTTGATTTACAACTGTTTGCTCCTCCAGCTGCCCAAGTTCACCGTTAGTCCTGAAGAATTGAAAAGTCGAGCCATAACACATTTTGGCGCCTACTAACTAGTACCTCATTAGTCCCTCGGGTCAGCTCAGCCAATGAATTCTCGGAAGTATTTCTCATGAGGCACGGTGTGAGTCTGGTTTCACATATCGCCCGGGTGCTCTTGGGGGTAGGGTACTCCAGGTCCAGGGAGATTAGTCTGGCAAAGTTGAAATATTTCCTGGGTTGACAAAAAAAAAAAAAAAAACTAGTACCTCATTAACTACATTAATTACAAGTTTAGAACTGGTCTTTTTTTTTTGGTTGAGTTTTTCCAATCACTCGTCAGTATATTTAAATCAGACCCAATCTAACATGACAATTATTATCTTTTCTTATACTTATATACTTTTTAAAATTAATTTTGTTTTATAAATACAATTAACATCCAAATGCATTCAAATTACTCTTTTTTTTTTAATGAAAGACGGTTTTATTAATAAATGACTATAAAGTCTAGTGCCCATCTTTATGCACTCTTACATCTTGATATATAAGATGTTGGCACTTAGCAGCAGGTCCCCCCTATAGGTACATTTGTCCCACATCGGGGTTGGGGTTGGGTTTGGGTTGGGATATAAGTCCCTGGGATTGCCTCAAGAGTTGCCGGCTTTTGAGGTTAATTCTGGGATTAGGTTTATAAAACAACAAAAGTCTGATTCAGGCTGTTGAAAAAAAAAAAGATGTTGGCACGCCTAGCCATTTCATATGCTGCTGCAGTATTGCCTTTTCTACTAAACCAATACCTTTTATTTTTCAAAAACTCATGAATCCAAACAGGTTAAAGTATCGAATTTGAACAATTAGTACTATGTAATAGAAAAATTAACAAGGTTTATAAAGTTCATAGTAGGATGTTCTTTTGTTTTTCTCATAGTCCAAGATAAACATTATCACAAGAAAATCATATGTCAACTTGAAAAAGACAGCCACCTCCAAATTTTTGAAAGCTTTGTTTGGATTGCATATTTCTGGATTTTTTGTAAAAAAATTACGGCAACAATTTGATATATGTGAGGTAAAAAGGTGATTAAAAAATGTGTTCACGGAAAACGTAGCAATTTTTCTTTGAAAAATTACAATCCAAACACAAATATTTTCCCTTTTTAGAAATTTTCCACCCGATACCCTCCTTTCCCCTAAATGAAGTAAATTCTTAAGCATATTGTTTGGATTGTGAATTATTAGAGATATTTTTACTGTAGCACTTTTTGTGACGTGGTGTATGTGAGATAAAAAGGTAATTGGGAAGATTAAAAGGTATGTTGGAAATTGTAATGATGATATAAGCAAATATATTTTGGCAAATAAATTGCAATCCAAACAATATGTTTGTATTAAACAATTTTTGTCTTGCATTTCACAAATAATACTACTTTAATATGTGAAAAAACGCTAATTTGTGACAAAGTACCAAGAACATGTATTGCATTTCTTAAACATTTACTCATACTCCCATAAAATCTTGTTAGAAATTTCGTATCTAACAAAATTTTAACTAATTTAATATCTTGGTTCCGATAACTTTTAAATATTAATCACATTATTAAGGTACAATTTTACATTTGTTATTTAGTGAAACTCGTTTCTTTGTGCCAAATTTTTTTAATCTTAAGTTGAACTGCATTATCTGGATTGGAGCATGCCCGCACCGGATCCAAATTTCCAACTTATTTAGGTAATTAATCAAAGGTTATCCCAATTTCCCAAAACAAGACATGAAAGGCAGTGGATAAACGCATGAGATTGGTTTCTACTAAGACGCCAATAATGGTGTTCCCAGAAGATTGAAAGAAAAAGAGGCAGAAAAGGGCACTTCCTCTGAGTGAAGAAGTCATTGGACTTCCACAAACATCATCATTCTTCCGTAAGACCGCTCCTTCATCTGCGTGTCTGGTTTGTCTCTTTTCTGTTTGATGTAATGCCCCACCGAGGTGTTAGAAGCAAAGCTCTTTTAAGACAATTTTTATTGTATTTACGCCTGCCATTTGTGAATGAGGTTACGTTCAATAGTAATGATAATGCATTTCGCTACTTACAATGGCGATTGATGACTACCAGCAAAAGGGTTCAAGAGAGGAGCAAGAGAAAACGTGTCCATGATCTTGAGGTGGCTCTGGAAAAGCACAAAGTACTGTCCAAGATTCTATTTTTCTTTGAAATTTTAAAGCAAGAGCCTGAACAAATCGTGCCCATTAAAAGTTTAGATAGGTACAGAAGGCAAATTAACCTCCCTAAACCCCATAAACTATCAGCTTTTCTTCGGAAATCGCCTAAGCTTTTCGAGCTGTACAAGGATCAGAGAGGGGTCTTGTGGTGTGGGATGACGAAAATGGCTGAGGAATTAGTGGAGGAAGAGGGAAGAATTATTGAGGAGAATAGCGATAAGGCTGCTGAATATGTTACTAGGATGTTGATGATGTCAGTAGATAAACGACTTCCATTGGAGAAGATTGCACATTTTAGGAGGGATATAGGGTTGCCAGTGGATTTTAGGAGCCGTTGGGTGCATAGATATCCTGAAAATTTTAGAGTCGTGCGGCCGTTTAAACCGTATGATGAGGGGGAATATTTGGAACTTGTTGAGTGGAAGTCTAGTTGGGCAATAACAGAATTGGAGAAGAAGTCAGGGATGGTTGAGGAGTTGAGTGGTGGCGATCACGTTCCAGGGCTGCTTTCGCTGTCGTTTCCTATGAAGTTTCCTCCTAATTATAAAAAGGTCTTGTCACGATATTATCCACAAATTGGGAATTTTCAGAAGAGAGAATATTTGTCTCCGTATGCAGATGCTAGAGATCTGAAAGCTGGCTCACAAGAATTTGATAAGAGGGCTGTGGCAGTTATGCATGAGCTACTGAGTTTTACAACTGAAAAGAGGGTGGTAACTGATCATTTGACACACTTTAGAAGAGAATTTGTGATGCCTCAAAAGTTGATGCGATTGTTGCTGAAGCATTTTGGTATCTTTTATGTTTCGGAGAGGGGGAGGAGGTTTAGTGTCTTTCTCAATGAGGCCTATGAAGGTTCAGAATTGATAGAAAAGCATCCCTTGGTTGTTTGGAGGGAAAAAGTCAATGGACTTATAGATTACAGAAAGAAAAAGAAGAGAATTGGGACTGTTGAAGTTTTACATGATATAGATGATAAGGACCTGTTTGAGAGTGAGTCTGAGAATGACAGTATCTTGTTGGATCATGAACAGGAGGAGACCATGGGTAATCTAGAGGATGCTTCACCTGCAGACAGTTCAGAGATGGAGATTGAAGAGATTTATGCGGCATACCAGGACTGAAACTTCACGAGTTTATAGGTTTCTTATTTTTTTTTACTATATTTTTGTTTGGCTAAAGAAATCACATTGGAAAACACATTTTTATCACTTCTTTGATCGTGCATTCTTCAACTACTTGATGCATGTGAGGAAGCTTTTCCATGTAATATGTGTCGACAGATTTTGAAAATAGCAAAGGTTGAAAGCAAGATGAATAATGACACAGAGAATACTACTCTTGGAGAGACCTGCAAGTTTTATTTCTTTATAGTTTCAAAAACATTGCACACACCTGAATTTGGCTTTTCGGCTTTGTTGGCATTACTGAAGCAATCCTATTTTGGGCTTTTTCTAATAAACGTGCAGAAAATAAAATCTGCCAAATAGTGTCAGGATCCAATATTCTAAATCCTAATCGAAACAAATCTAGAAGACACGGCAGATGAGAACAGGACAACAAGTGACAATGTCATGATACGCAATGGAAAATGGGAAAAATTTTGACTGATGAATCCTTTATCTGCCAGATAAGTGTTGTTTCCAGTGATTTTAATTTGAATTGAAGTTGTGGACAGGCTGAATACAAACACCATGTTACAAGAGATGCCCATTCATAAAATGTTGTGAATTTTATAGTAACAATTTCCATAGGCAACTTCGAGCTATGTACTTAAGAATCGGGAGACATTGTCAGATGATGAACATTGAGCAACTTTCTTGAATGTTATTAAGGTGGGGGCTATAGAGTAAAGCACTAGGCAGCACTAGCTCAATCACTTCTTCCGTGGTTTTGCTTCTTTTTCAAGCTGAACATTTTTGGTTTGTTAGTTGATAACTTACTTTGTTCACTTTTCAAGTGGAAGGTTTTCTTGAGATTCTTATTGTACTAAAAATTTGAACATACTTGCTTTCCTATTTTTCGGTGCTTATGGAAAATATTATCTCCCAGACTCTTGTTATTAAAGGAATCAATTAAAAGAAGAAGAGATTTATGAGAAGATAGTGGTATGTTTATAATCTTTCTCACAAGGAGAATGACAACTCGAAGATAAAAAATCAATCTTATAGAAGGTCATAAACTTACCTTGTCATGATCCTCCAAAGCTAGACTCAATGTTAGATTTCAAGTTTCAATCCTGTGTAATCCCTTCTTTATGATGTTCACACTTGCTATGTATTTGAAGTATTTTTCCCAATCTGAGGAAGGGTTCTGATCTTTTCTCTTTTGTTTTTAGGAATTGTTCACTCAGGAACTTTAAGGTTGTTAAAATGATGAAATGACCGTGAATGGAGAACAGTCAACTGCATTATTCAATGGTACTCTCTTTGCAGAAAAGTTAATATTTTCTTATTTAATTCTTTTGCCATCACATTTTTTAATTTCATAAATATATGATTTCAGGTACTTTTGACCTCAGTGCTCATAATTATCTTCTTTGTTCTCGCTAATCTTTCTTTTCAGCTATAGCATAAAATAACAAGTGCTGTTTTGTGCATAAAAGTTGCCACTTTGCTTGCCTGCACTTATTAAAGCATATAGTGTGGACTGTTTTCTGGTAATGTTTATTCTTCTATCACTCTAGTAGTAATTGGAGGAGCTTGCAGTGGCAAGGTGTTATGTAGTCTGTGTAGGAATGCATAAAAGTACTGGAAGTGTACAGACGCTTGCTTTACTGTTCGAAATGTCTAACTTTTTGACTCAAAGATAATTTCTAACCAAGTGACTTGTTATGTCCGGATATATATGAACTTTTGTCGAATTAGGATGCATCTAACCCCAAGAAAGACATCTTCTTTGCAAACAGGAGCTTATATTAAGATACAGTTATTTGATAAATGCTGTTATGGATTGGTTTTCTTTAATTTTTTTTTCATCTCCAGGAACAGGTTATTTTTACATCATTAATCGGAAATCACTTTGATGTCACAGAATGATTTCTTTGAACAATTTTATATGCTTAAGCTGCCTTTTTGCTTACCCATGCAATTTCAACATTTCCTCCCCTTCCTTGCCCTACACCAAATTATTTTGTTAATTAAGAGAGAGGGATATGAATATTCTATCTCATCTGTTACTCTTTTCTTATCTGACTTGGAAAGCATGAGCACCTAAAAGTATCTACCCTTGGACCTGATTGTCATGAGTCATTCATCTGTTCCACTTTCTTGTCGTGTGATTGCAATAGATTCTGCTGCCTGTTTTCCTGGATTTCCATATGGGTGTGTGCTGGCAGAGGAGTTGTGTGTGCGCTAGTTTCTCCAGGATATATACTCACGTAGAGTATAGTCTTGTTTTTGTATCTCTGTAATAGTACTAAACGGTGAAATTTCCAGGGTAAAGTGCTGAATCCACGAGAGGAGACTATATGGTGCAGGGTATGAGACGCACAGGACTTCAAAAGGCAATGTTGTTGCAAGTTGCCGACTCAGGCTGAGAAATTACTCACCTCAGCTTTAATATGTTACCATTTAGCTCCGTCCTTGGGTCTTAATTGGCCTCCAGCTTTTGTAACTTTTAGCTCAGAAGTCCGTAGGGAAGAGAATCTCGGTAGTTTTGGTTGGTGTCCAGGAGTCCAAACTAGAAGTACACATTGCAAATCCTCAAAACAATCTCCCCCCCCCCCCCCCCCACCCAAAGAAACCCCCAACCCGCACGCACACACACACACACAACCACCACAAAAACCGTAGACGAAGAAATAGATGGCGTAGTGTTTTCAATTTCTGGCTCTGGAGAGTGTGTGAGTTGCATAGAGATTTATTATTTTGCTTGTCATTAATGGCTTTGACCTTGAGAGTAGACGTCAACGGAGTGGGGATTCAACCGAATCAACTCAAGGCCTCCATATTTTCTTGGGCCTTGTTCTGTGTGTATTAATTCTTTTAACCTATTAATCCTATGAATCACACAATATTGTAGTAGGATGACGCACACTTTGTATTCAAAGTCGTATAGGTTTGGGTGCATATATATATATATATATTCCTCTTGGTTAAAGCAATTTGGCGAGTTTGGGTCTGGGTCGGCAGATTCTGCCCTTTAACGTTGCTATAACGTTGGATTGTTTTGACCCGCACATAAATTACAATCAAGAAAGTGATTATTTACTTTCTTACTTCAAGAAATGCCTTATGGGTAGACATTAGGAGCTGTTTAACTCTGAAGAAGATGATTAAGGAAAATACACGTAATGGCACAAGCAAGGTGCAAATCAGAACTAAATATGGGAGATGTTTTTTCTGAGACTGGAGTTTCCTATTGTCCTATTGATTTGTACGGTAGTAACATACGGCCCAATGAGTGTGAAATTCAACAAATTTGCGTAACTTTGTGATCTGATTAAGGTAGTGTGCTCCATTTCGAATTAGAGCTGGATGCGAGCAATTGATAAAGTTTGTATCACATAAGATGGTAAATTACGACTCTTTGGAGTTTCTCAATTCAATGGTGCATAAGTTCTTCGCTTCCCCCAACGGGTTCAAGAACAAGAATCCCTTTATGTCGGTTTCTTTGCCAACAGCCCGACACTCAAAAACATCGAAATGGAAGGCATTATAGGCCTAGCCAAAGATCATCCCGAAACGGGGAAGGGCGTCAGAGATGGCCTGGAAACAAACGACTTGGCACAATGGTTGACCATCAAATGGGAACGGACACACAAGTACAAATGTCGCTTGCTGGAAAAGACCTCCTTTGAAGCTTGAATTGAAGAGGTTCGTGAATATTACTTCTTTCTCCCCCCCCCCCTCCTCCCACACACACACATGATAATACTCATAATAGAGGTAAAAAATTGGAGCTCTCATCTTCCAATTCAGAAACAGTCTTGGTTCATACCAGTATTGTCCTCTTTCTATCTTCAATGCCTATCAAACACAAGATTATGTGTCGTACACTTCCATAATGCGCCTCTTCCTTCATTGTAGTGTATGACATGTATCATGTTGTGTGCTAAAGTTCCTGCTTGATCTAGGAATTAGTAATTCCTGACATTATTTCTTCATATCTTGTGCTCGTAGTGTTTGTTACCTCGACACATTATGCATATCAACATCAAGAAACTACATTGTTGGTACACATGTACAACCTATGACCTACCAATCCCACTTCATGCCCCAAATTCGGGCCAGGGCCAGTGGTGGGGTTTTGGAAGGGTAGAATGTGTGTGCGTGCGCGTGCGAGCATATGTGTGAGAGGGGGAATGCCGATGGTCCCATGTCAAAACAGGAAGATATGAAAGTTAGGCCAGAAGATGCATTGCATGCTTCCTTAGAATAAAAATCTTTAGGAGGATAGTTGCTTCATGGTGTTGAATCATTTGGATGTATGTGGGGTGCAGAATTTCGTAGATAAGAATTGAAATATGGTACGAAGCAAATACATTGTTTTTATTTTTCTTTCTAAATAATCTGGGACAGCTATGATTTGGACCTTCAGCTTTTGGAGGAAAGCGATCCAAAGCAAAGTTTATCTATCCTCATCTCCAATCTCGATGTAGTATTCTTTAATTGTATCGCAAGGGGTTGGATCAGGATCAGGATCAGGATCAGTGCACCAACCTTTCCCTTTCTAAATATTAACTTGATTCTCTCCTGTCTTTGTCAAGCTAACTCTTGAGCCTGAGGGAGGGGGAGGGCTTCTCTAATTCTGCTTTTATCATTTAAATCAGCACATTTCAAGGATCTACCATGATAAAGTAATCATATCATTTTAATTAGGCATCTTAGGATCGATCACAGACATTGAATGCGGTCAACTTTTTACGTTCATCCATGTTTCTTTTTCTTCTTTTCTTTTACTTGGAAAGAAAGAAGAAAATTCATGCCTATCGTTCTAAGGCTTCATTCAAACATTTTTCAGGAAGGGCTAAATTATGGCGCCGCTCAATTAAGTAAATCCCTGTTTGATCACAAATCTGACCGATCCCGGTTGTTTTTTTTGTACTGTCCACCATATGGCCACTCGAAAGAAATTTTCAAATGATACCACCTATGTAGCTAATCAACTGTAATTAATGTAATCTTTAGCCAATTGCCAAAGGAGGAGGGGAACAAAATAAAAGGAAAAATAACATAAAACTCAAGTGCGTACCTCGAAAAATTCAATGATTTGTCAGGTACGGATACAACAGCGAAGAGCATGATATAGGATTTTCCCACAAAATTGGGATCAATAAGAAAAGGTTCAAAGTGTAAAAATAAAGAAGGGAAAAAAAGAAAAAGGAGAAAGAGATGGATTCCATGCCATTCTGGATGTGACAAAGAAGCACCAACTTTTTCTCTCTTCCACAAAAAATCCTCATATCCAGCAGGACCTGCATGGAATATCTTGTTCACAGGGCCTGTAACTTCATTTGCATACGTCCAAGGAATGCCATTTGTTGTTGGTAACCTAGCATATACGAGAAAACTGTTTATCCTTTTTGATTCTTTTATGGGCCCTCCCCTTTTTGATCTTCCAACATATATAGAATAAGGAAAAACACATAAAATATTAACACATCCTCACGAACACAAAAACACACACACACACAACACAAAGTAGAATACTACAATTGAAAGCATAAAATTATGGTTAAATGGTAATGCTTGCAACAGCTCTTTCTCTCCCACAATCTCTCAACACAAACACATGCACACACACCCTACAGCCTGTCATTGTGAATTATTAAGAGCCCATGATTAGGATTTTATTAGTGAAAACTGCTTTGTTTTTTCTCTGAGGAAGAGAAGAAGAGAACAGAAAAGCAAGGTTTTTGACATTGGCCTCAGAATAATAAAGGGATTGTTGCTGTTGGTGATTCATAACCATCTGTTTACTCCAGAGGGCACTTTGATTCCATCGTCCATCATGTTTTAAAGAAATGAGTTGTTGAGTCTTGAGATGTTTCGATCAGTGCTCAATTTGGATGGTCGCACTAATATTTGAAGTGGTTGGATTCATTGGTCGTAGTTTGTTTTTGCGCTTTAAAAGCAGTGGCATGAGAGTGGAATGTCTTCAATGACACTTTTACTGATAGAGCGATCCGCTTCCTTTTTATTCCAGGTACGTTATTCTATCCAATGCATGTGTACTTCGGAAACTTCTGATCTCAGGATTGTTTCAGGAAAAAGAAAATTTTGCAGCTTTATTCTGTGCAAACCATTTCAAGTTTTGGACTTTCTTTTTCTGGAAGCTTCAAATCGTATAGTTGTGTCTGAATTCTCAAATTCCAATGCAAAATCATATAGTTCTTGGAATGCTTTTGCGCCATCTTCATTCTTCTCCGTGGATAATGATTTAGGCATAAATAGGAATGGCTAGTCTTGGATATGTGTGGTAATAAGACTAACTACTAGAGTTTTGTTTGTGAATTGTGAATGATTTACTTCATCAGAATTTGGTGAGATCCCATCTTCAGCATAAATATGGTACACAGCACATATGAATCCAGGGGAAGATAGCCAATGTATAGCATGAGAAGTTAATTAGGGTCATCAATTCTCTTCAACTCCAGCATTTCTCTGCATCTTTACAGCTGGTGTTATGTAATATGAACACTTGGAGGTTCGTAGGGGGGAAGCAATTTGAATTAAGTATGGGTTTCTCAAGGGCCTGTAGCGTATGACCCTTGCAGAATAAGCAAAATCCATATGTCCAACCGAGAAGAAAAAGTGTCGCAGTCTAATTTGACTTCTTCAAATGCGTGCCATTTTGCATGATGATCATACGTTCCATTTGGTGTTTGGTGGTTGGAGGTTTCTAGGCCTTGTCTCCACGTTCATATAGTGGATTTCATCATACTCATCAATTACTGGACCCAAAGAGCATTCTCAAATATCTCCTACTTTAGTAATATTCCGACTCTTCAAAGCCATGGTTGTATTACCATCTTCAAAAAGGCATTTTTTGTGGGGGAGCAGAGGAAAGAGGCCACAAAGAACTTACAAAAGAGAGAGATGCAACGAAACAACTCCATCTCCACTTGCATTTCTCATTATCAGCATATTTCTACAATCAGCATGTCATCCTCAAACCCTCCCTTTTTTTAGAAGCTTATACACTTATTGCTCTGATTCTTTGATGACCTAAATGATTTACAGGGATGGCAACCAAATTCCAATATGCAATAAACCCATTAGCTACTGCTTCAAACAACTCACTTGCTGTAAATCAAAACAGCGACTGGGGATACTCCCGAGAAACTGGTGCAAGGGGGCAATCAGAGGAAAGTGCTCTGCATCATTTTAAGCACTCTATGGATCATGAGATGTTCGATTTACAGAAGATAGAGTCCATCAAGAAGACAATGCTATTGCATGAAGATATCTTTCAAAGACAGGTGCTTTTCTCATCCTTGCTAAGCCCTTGATCTTCTTCTACACCAGAGTTTTCAAATTTATTCTCTCCATAACTTTAGCTACGCATTTTCCAAAATTGATACCTTCGGCTAAAGGGATTAATAAAAACCAAAAGAATCTTGATGAATTCAACCTCTTCAAGATGTGCTTGTTTTCTGCAATAGTTTATTGGTTTTCAGATCTCATCAGCAATATAGTATTTGAAACATGCAAGAGCCAGCTACTCTTTGCCCCCTACACTGTATGAGAACAAAATCACGTTTCCTTGCAATATTTTTTTCAGAAGTTCATGGTTAGCTTGCATTGACTTTGATTAAGTAATTCCAAGTATTATCTTGGGTTCCTAGAGATATGCTGCACAATTCATGAGATGGTACAGAGTTGGAACTGATTTTAGCTTAAAAAAAAAAACTAAACTTGCAGGTAAGAGAGCTTCACCGGCTGTATAATCTCCAAATGAAGTTGATGTATGAGCTAAAGAAAGAGATGACGTATAAACAAGGTCCGTTAGCAGGAAAGGATCCTAGCAGTTCTCAATTTTTAATTTGCCAAAAACAAATGCAAGATATCAGGTCCAATCTCCCTGTACATGGATTGACATATGGTTCAGCAGAAAGGAGTGCTAGCAGTTGCGGGGAGAGCCTGAGAATGCCAAAACTATTCAACCTCGAAAGGGTTGCTGAGGAAGGTCCCTCAACTAGCATTCAGCCCACTGAACAGGATCAACAAAGGCCTAATAGGTACGGGCTTTCAACGAGTAATAAGGCAAGCATGGATGGATCAGATGAAGAAATAGATGTGGAGCTGACTCTCAGCATTGGGTGTAGCAAGAGTAAAAAGAGATCGAACAGCCGGAATAATCCATGCAGCCTAGAATTAGGGGGGTCAGATTCGAATTATAGTGGCAAAGAGCTCTGTTCTGCTGCAATTGTAAAAACAGAGAAAAGGGAAGATTCTGATGACCCCAGCCCTGCTTTAAGCAGTTCGAGTGCCACACCGAACCAAAATACTAATGCAACAACATCCCATTGGCTTTTCCAAGATCTGAGTTTGAACAGAACATAATATTTTGCTTATTGTTCTGTCACATTTTGTTTAACACTTAGTTAGAATCCTAGGAACAGCTCTTGAAACTGAATCTTCACCTGATCAAAATACTTGCAATAAAAAAGACCATTGACACTCAAATCATTGAAAGCCAGCCATATTTCTTACTCAAATCAGGTAGCAACCTGGATGATTTAAGAAAACAATTTTGCCTCGTTTTCCCTGTAAAAGTGGCCATCATATTACACGACACTTTTATCGTGCAGTCAAACTAGCTACCTCAAGTCATTCATAAGAATATACCGAATCCGCATCCCTCCATCTACATGCAAACATCCGAAAAGTGCCAAAGTCAATAGAACAAGACATTGATGCACCAAAGACATTCGGATTTTTAAAGTGTCCGGATTCTCCCCATCCATACTCTAAAAACATAGGTAAAGGTAAATTTCCTGCAGGTAGTCCCCTTTTCAGCAAAAAACGAAGACTTTTCATGATTAGGACAAAGTGTTCACGACAATTGACATGATCAAAGCTAGAAAAATTATTCGATGTATGCTACTATTACATGAACTTAGAAGCGCTGACAGCGTAGGAAATAGATGGAAACAGGTTAAATTTGAGACCCAAATTTCAAACGACCCCTTAACAAAATCATAGTACCACCTTTCAGTGCCAGCATGTTTTTTAGCAATCGCTTTCTTGACATACGGGTATGTCAACGAATTCCCTTGCGACAACTTAAATGCCTCCTTCTCCAAATTCGCGCATCGCTCGCTAAAAAGTAAAATCCAAACAACCACATTCTGCTTTCACTATTTGCCTTGGCAGGCAAGCCAATCTCCGCCCAATCCTCTAAAGAATCACTGCTGGAAATAGTCAACTCATCAGGCATGGACATGAGCCTTTTCACCCCAGCACATTAGCCATGGTGAGGATCCGGTCACTGGTGCCACGTCCTTGTGTTGGTTTCCTGCAGAGGAAAACTTCCTGAGTCTGGACATGGCGTTGTCACTGGTTCCATTCCATGTTTGGCTCTCCTTGTGATTCTTTGAAACTATCAAGCTGGTTAGATTGAATTGACAGCACTGTAGAATCTTTGGACAAGCACTGATTAGAATGTTCAATGCCAGTAAAACTTGCGTTCTCTTTCCTTTTTCCCCCTTTCTTCCTGAGGAAGTTTAGCCCCTTTTAAAGAGGAGATATCGCAGAATATGGTAGAAATTGGAAAAAATAGTTACTTACAGGCCTTGGTAACTTCTAGGAGTATTTTACGTTCAAATGGAGCTTCTAAATTGCGATTTATCGTCTATTATTTGCTTGATAACTTCATTTCAAGTCAAATTCTATACTATACGCAAGGAGAACAAAATAAATTTACTCAATGAGATTATATTCTTTAAAAAAGAGAACGTATATCTTTATTTTTATATAAAAAAAAAAAGTCTTTTTTCACTCGAGTAATTTCACTGGCAAGCGTTTTGATCTTCACTATGCAATCCATGCATTCTCCCCTTCCTAATATAATAAAACAACAGAAGAAAGAAATTCAAAGGCAAAAGGAAAAACAGCCCTCTGTAGCAAGTATGATAGACAACCGTATAAAGCATACAAAGTGAAAAAAAAAAAACCTATGCACAATCACACTAATATGATGAATTGAAAGACTAGTAGATCACACAATTCCTGTTCTTAAGTGCTACCAAGCATCACTTTTCAGGCTGCCATGCTACTACTATATTACTACTGCAATCTCACGTACGTGTAAAATCCTGGTTTCCTAGTTATGCATATAAACCTCTTGTATCCTCAACTCACACTTAAACTTGACCTCTTCCCTTCTCTGCATTTTTAGACTTGATTGCACTGGAAATTATGCTCCCTTGCTTATGTTTTCTGTTACTCTCTCTAGTACTTACAGCTCCCATATTTCTTTTCTTTGTATCCGCTTATCTCCTTGCAAGAACTCTTCTGATTCTAAGAAAGTTTGTCCTGTTCTTGTTGCTTATAGCCAAACTCATTTTTGCTCTTTACATTTCTTAAATTCTTGAAATTGCAATGAAAACCACACAAAAAGGAATTTACTTCCTTGTCGAAGAAAAAGTTTTACAGGGTTCACAGCCTCACAAACAAATAAAGAATTAGCTATACTTCACACTGAAAGACTAATTTCTGTCCATGGAAATGTGGGAGCTCTTGGATTAATCAGTTTGGCCTTGTGCAGTCACGTCTGATCTCACCCTGATTCCCAGTCAAGACTCCAACGCGGCCCAGCTTGGTGATGGCTGTGATAAAAGCTTGCTGGAAAGCAGCTTTGTTGGACGCAAATTGGTTGACGGTGGTCTTCGACCGATTATCCGTAAACAATGCTTGATCAGAGGTGAACAAGCCCTTTCCTTGCTGAAGATTTTGGTAATAAGCATTGTCAAAAGTATTAGGGGTGGTCGGATCCATGTCGATGGCAATTCTTGAGTCGACGTTGGTTGGGCACATTTGCCTTAGCTGCATGGCGTATTGCAGATTCAGTGTTGGGTCAATTCTTGTTTGAGGAGTAAAACTGTATATGCGCTTGGAGAATCTGCTGCAGTGGGAGAATCCAATTGTATGTGCACCTGCAACAAATCAACAAATTGATAAATTAACCATGGATGTTATGAAGAAAAAATACGTTAATCTACTAGGGAAGCAAAGTCAAAATTTTGTTAATTGATTCTTGCAAGGAGGATTAAAATATTTGGAAATCAAATTATCAGGGGATTTCCCCCAAAAAAAAAAAAGAATAAAAAAAAAATTCAAGGATCATTGGTGGCTTCAGAAGAAGAAGACGAAGCAATCTATTTCAAGATTTCCAGGAAACATATGAATCAGAACAATGATAGTAATGCTGGCTTCTATTTGTTACCTGATAAAGCAATCATATCAGTTTGGTCTAGACCATGACTAGAAAACAAGGCATTGAGCTGGTCCAGATTAAAGTTCGGCGGCGGAAGCCTATGTTGTACACTGGCAATGGTAGATATTCTCCCATCACGTCGTCCCAATTCGACCGGATAAAATGGTCCCCCAGCCTGCATAATTAAACAAAATCAAGATTATTCATTCACAAATCACAATTCTGCTCGTTTTGATTAACAATGAGAAGCTTGTTATCAAGCGATGCTTGCGTCCTACTGCTTCAAATTTAGGAATAATCATACCAAGGAAACGACTTCACGGGCAGCCAAAGCCAGTACGTCTGCACATGAAACTCTGTTTTTGCACCGAGGGTCGCTATCTACAGCTGCTTTGGCTTTGACAACGGTGTCAAATCCATCTCCGGCGAGCGAAAGATTGTCGGGGTGATCCTTTTCGGCGCTGTTATTAGGCGATGCAATCATAATCGAAGCATCGCAACCCTGTACACAGATGTCAAAACCAAAATTTATCACAAAATCAAGCATCAACTTCAGCCCTGCAGAAAAAAGCACTCGTCCGCGCGTAATAATTGATGCGGGCCAAAAAAGTGAGAGGGAAAAAAAAAGTTGAAACTAGTAAAGTGATCAGCTAATGAATTATGAATGGAATCTACACGTACGTACCCTGACAAAGCAATCGTGAAAATAGAGTCTGAGAGTTGCCGGAGCAGTAGTGAAGGTCTGCCTGAACTTCGTTTGGACGGCATTGCGGACAAGGGCTTCCACATTTGGGCACGTATTGCGATAGAAGTTGGTAGTGAGTTGAGCAGAAGCTGTTGTAAAAATTATAATAAAGAGAGAAAGAAGCAAAGCAGACAAGCTTTTGTTAGGCATTCTTTTTGTTTTGCACCAGTAAATCAATATATATTTCTAATTAATAAGCATTGGTTATTGATGAAGAAGATGTGTATATATAATGCATTAGGAATCAATCATAAAAGAAGGAGAGCTGCAGCTGTTTATATATAATAATAAAAATGATAATAATGCGGAGAGATTGAGGCAGATACAGTCTGGCCACTTCCTGATTGATCATGTCTGCTGGGATTAAGGCTGTGGTGAGGAGGTGCCATTTAAGAATTGGTGGGTGGATATATCACTACTTGCTGATCTTTTCTTCTGTAGAAAAAGGTTGACAGGTATGTTTGCGAAAAGGAAGAATGATTGGACTTTGTTTACGTGCCGGTGCATGAACCACGAGTGTCTCGATTTTCAACACAAGTATAAATCACGAGCAGGAGTCTGCATGGAAGAGAACAAAACAGGCTCAAATAATGGACTATGGAAAGTCCCATCAAGAGTGTGCTTTCCCTATTACTTCCTTGTTCCTACTCCAACCCAGAGAAGTGAAGTGGGGTAGGGTACTACCATACAAGTTCTTTGCATTCCTGACGGAGATAGCCAACCAATTAATCGTTTACAACTCCTTTTTTTTTTATTTTTATAAACAAGTATCAAAAATTGCTGCTTGCTTTCATAATTGAGGTGGAGTAGTACATAATTAGGCTCAAGGTAGAATTTGAAATGGATAAAATCAAACGCACTTTACTTTATTAGACGTAGTTCAATGTAAAGAACTCGGTAGCTCTCTCCTTGCCAATGTTGGCAGCCGACTCTTATTATTACTAACTAAATTGGTTGAATTAGCAAATATTATTGTGTACTAGTAGTTACTAAGTGATGACAAAATGTTCTTTTGAACAAGCAAGTTTCAGCTACTGCTTATAACTTCCTATGAGATACCACCATTATTGAAAGGAAATTTTTTTTGAGAAATACCATGTTCGTATGACTGGGATCCCTTTTGGCGACACAATAATAAAGATTTTGAGAAAAGAAGGGCAACGATATTGTGGTACCTGTCCATCAAATGATGAAGGGCAGGCACAGAAACATATGGGTACGAGAATAGATAGTTACATTAATGTTTTGGTTGCTGGAGTATATATATACTACTCCCTCCCTTTTTTTATAACTGATGTTTAAGGTTTTGCACACCAATTAAGAAAAGTTTTTCATTGTTTAAATCTATACACTACTTTCCTTTTGTACCCTTATTAATTATCCAATTCACCCATGTTTTCTCTCACTAGAGTACTAAATGGTGCTGTTTTACTAGGTCAAAAGCAATGCAAACTAACTAGGAGTAGTAATTAAGAACCCTGTATTGGAAAAGAGAGATAAAAG